AACAAGGAGAGAGAAGAATGATAGGGGACAAAAAGTCAGAATGAAGATGTGCACTGACCTCCCGGATGAATGTGACCATTATGTGGCAATAAAAAAAGAGACACTCAGCACTTGATCAAATACGAAAACAAATCAAGATGCTACCCAGCCCTGTGTCCTCATCACTGCTCCCCGGCTTTCTACCAGCTTCCATCGTGAGCCTTAGATACCACTGCAAGCTGACAGGTTCGTATTCTCTCTCCACCTGGATTTGAGATTCTTAACTCCTTCACTCATAAAGCAGATACACATGATTTTTGTCCTGTCATACATATCGCATGTGCTACCCAGAAGCAGTGTGTTGACAGCTCAAGAACAATGTGGCATGGTACACGAGGACAATGTGGGTGCCACAGCAGAATTAGAATCTTTTTTTTTTTTTTTTTCCGAGACAGGGTTTCCCTGTACAGTTCAGGTTGGCCTTGAGTTCACTTTGTAACACAGGCTGGTCTCAAATTCACAATGATCCTCCTGCTTCAGCCTCCCAAGTGCTAGGATTACAGGCATGGAATTCTAATCTAAATACTGCTTAAATAATATTTATTATTGTATTTATTATCATCATCATCATTTTTTTTTTACTTTGCCCAAGAATATGGTCTAGGCACCTTCCGTACTTTCTTCTTTCACCCTCAGTCAACTACTTCCTTCTTCCTAGTTACAGGATGCTTGCTGTAGTACCAATAGCACCTTGTTCTTGTACAACAACTTCTCTCTTTCTCTGTTTCCTCAGCTAGGTAAACCTTTCCTGAAATTCCCCTGGAGGACTGTCCTTCCGCCTAGTTATCCAGAACCATGTCACATGGCCATCCCTAACTGTGAAAGGAGATGGGTAAAGCAAGTAAAGTGGAAGGAAGTCTTGCCAAAACAGAAGAGGGTGAGGACAAACTATGGTATAGACAACAACAACAACATCTACAACACAGATACCTACGGTCATGAGCCAGAGGCATACACAATGCTTATCAATTGTGAGTGTGGTGGTGTACTCCCGTCATCCCAGCATTCTGGCAGGCTAAGGCCAAAGGATCACAAGTTTGCGACTAGCCTGGGCCATTTAGTGACTTAGCAAGATACTGTCTAAAAAGGGGGGGCTGGGGTTGTAGATCAGCATGAAGGTCCTGGGTTTAATCCCTACTATCAGCCAAAAAATCAATCAATCAATCAATCAAACAAGGAAAAGAAAGACACATCTAGGAAAGAATAATCATGCCACTCTCCTTGGAGAGGTGGGGCACCATGGGATGAGTGAGGTCCTACGAGCACTGAGAGAGGTGTGACACCTGCTTTTCCTCAGAGCAAGAGGGCTCCTGAGCACTCTTCTTATATGGTGCTTGTGACTCAAAATTCACTTTCTAGAGGCTTTTTATTCAGGTCCACATTCACTTGGTTCAATCCCAGTCGTTTTAGACTCAGGGCCGGCAGTGCAGCAATCTTTCTCCTGCCCAGACACCGCAAGATATGCTAGTACAACCTTTAATAACTGACAGCACCAGAAAGGCTCATACCTGTCCAGCTCTTGTAACTCTTCAAACCAATGAAAAACCTTAAGAAAATGGACTGCAAAAGACCAGTGTTTGTTTCTCGGTGATTTAGGGAAGACAAAGGCACTTTCTGTTAGATCGTCACTTTCCAGTTTCCGGCCAAACCCCTGTAGTTTCCACCACGCACCATTTTTGTGATTAATGATGTGTACCCAGTTAATGGAAAACAGTAGATTAGGTTCCCACTAATAGTGCTGCAAGTTATGTACGTCGTCTGTCTGCCTCATTTAGTAACAACCTCGCTGTTCAGTAAGAAACTAATGGATTTAAGCCCGAAGTAGAATTTAGCTTTATGCATACAAGACAGGTCAGATTTCCAGAGTGGAGAAAATTACGCTATTAGAGGTGCGCAGATCTTGGGTTACAACGTAACACTGACATGCTGCCTTGTAAGGACTTCATTTTTTTTCCCTTTTACTTCTATATAAGCAATTAATTTAGGAATCTATGATACTAACTGAAGGCCTATAAAAAAATATGATGTATCTTGCAAACATTACAAATAAATGTAATATGATAATTTCCATTATTTGTATGTTGAACTGAAAAGACATCTGTTATTCCGAATTCATAGGCAAGAAACAGTTCTTAGATAATAGCGTATTAACATAATTATGGTCAAAACACTGATTGTAGAAAGTACATAACCACTGGCATGCCTCAGTTTAAAAGTGGCTTGAATGAAAAAAACATACAATCTGCAATTCTATACAACCAGTACTTTTATCCATTCATGAGTTGGACCAGCCTTGAAGAACAAACGCATTTCCATAAACTATGTTAAAAACAAAGTTAAAGAAAGTATGAAATACCAAATATTTAAATCCAGTGGGTTAATTAATTGGTTAAGTTTGTACACAACATGAAGCTAATTCATTCTCCCAAGTCTAATAAGAGGTTCTATTAAAAATGAGATAGTTTATGGGAGTAAAAACTACTTCCTTCTTCAGGAAAGCATCACAATCTTCTTAATTTCCTTTTACTAAAATATATTTTTATATCTTCTTATAGGAAAATATACTGAAATCTAAACCAATTACATGAGGGAAAGTTGGTTGACGAGAGAGAAATTTTGAATAATAAAATTTGTCCCTCTGTAAGACAAGCCTGACAAGATCATCTGTACAGATATAAGCTGGTCCTCTTCTTATACAGAAATAGAAATCAAGCTTCCAAATTTCTCTAATGGAATTTCAAAACTGGACCAGATACCTGGTACTAAAAGCAGAGGCTATCAGCACTTCTATCTCCGCCCAACAGAATTTCCCTGTAGACGATCACTTACCAAAAGCTTGATATTTGTTTATGAAAGCTATCAGTGTGTTTTTCATGGTGTGTCCTAGTGATAGAAAAGCTAGAGAAATGTAGCACACACTGTTGGATTTTTGTGATCCTTGCTGCACAGGTACAACTAGATATCTAAACGACTCAACTGTGGAAACACCCATCGAATAATTCCTAGAGCACTAAGCACATGAATAACAAATACTGTTGTTTGCTCTTATTGGTTAAGCTTTGCAGGGTAAAGGATACACAGAAGCAGAGCACTCATTAAGAAATGATCTATGGGTCAAATTTTAATCTTCAACAATAACACATTTACCCTTAGAGTCCACGTATTTAGTGTTTTGTTTTGTCTCTCATAAGACACTTCCAAAAAGCATATCCCTGGTCAGGCTGAAATCCACACAATCATGTTTTGTATGAACAGGCCTGCAGCACTTTGTCGTTCAAAATGATCTTAAACAAAGAACTATTCATCCAGTCGGAGGCACCATAACTCAATATTAAACTAACATTGCAATAACCTGTGCCACAAGAAATTTTATTAATATCAATGACTCAACCTGAGATCTTTAAAGGATGAGGGAAAAAATGATATGAGTTGCCAGTTCTTAGTTATGAAGGACAATAAACAGGGCAAAGGTATGCTACTGATCTAAATCCGCCTCTTTTTTTGTTGTTTTTAAGAAACAACTAAGAGTGTGATTCCTTAAAGAACAGAAAACGACACAGATAGCTAATAGCAGCCGGGGTTCAATAGAAGCGATCTGAATCCTGAACCCACATGTGTGAGGATTTTGTTAGATTAACTTGTTATTCGGGCCTTTCACTTGTTTTATGGAGGCTGCCTGCGCTGACAGTTTTATGCTGCTCAATCAGAGATTCTTCCTCCCAGCGTTAGGTTAAGCTCTGACGACAGAGTCTTGTGAAATGAGTAGGTGGGCGAGGCCTTGCAGGGTAAGTCCACGATGACAGCCCTCGCCCCGAAGTCAGAAATGAGCCCTCTGAGGGTGCAGCCCTCACCCTGGCATCAGCTTCACACACACATCACCAACCAACATACACGCAGCCCTCCCCACGACGCAGGCCGACGGAACTCGGAGGACACCCCCGAAGTGAGAAACCCACCCATCTGCTCAGGAGCAACAGAATCAACTAGTACTTGATGACAATCCACTGAGTTCTCAATAAACATATAACCCAAAACTGGGAGAACCTTAACTATGAAACCAGCCTTATGATGTAAGAGACGGTAGTAATTTAGAAAAATCCACTCAAGGAAAAGCAAGACACACACAGCAAAGTTTTGCCCTCTTGGCTGAAGAAAGGCAAGCCTAACCTGAAAAACACAGCTCATTTTTAAAAAGCAGGACTGAGTCTTTAATTACTTTATATACACTATCACTGGCTATCGTAAGATATTCTTTCACATAAATGGACTCTATTAGGCTGTATTATAACCTACAAGGAAGCATTTTAAGTGTTTAAATCTCAAGATCTAACAGAAGATGAGCTTTCCCAAAAAATAACTTTGTTTCCAGGGACCAAACGTCACAGGTGCTTTTTTGTTAAACCACGTAAGCTCAGACATACAAACATAAAGTACATATTGGTGTTACTCCTTGTCTACTTTAATCATAATCAATTAAGTATATTTAGAGTAAAACAATCCACAATTATTGTAGGCAACATGTCTTTTTGACTTGCTTATTTTTGTGTTCTGTCAATTGACAAAAATATGAAGACTTAAGCAAAGTACCACCTTTAAAGGTAACCTCCTCCGTGAAACACTATTTCATCTCTTTTTACAAATGTTATTTTCCACAAATCAGTAAAACAGTGCAGCCTAAACATTATAGTCAAATTTTTAAAAAGATTATGCCTTCCCGAACAAATCCATAGCAGTATGTCTGTCGGTGAGTAGAGTTTTGTCAAATAATCAACGATTTTTGGACCTGAACCTACTATTTTCTGAAGAGCACGTTTGTGAAGGGTGTATGCCAGGGTGGTCAAAGTCTTCTTCAAGAATACAGGTTGCGGAGGTCACAGGGACAAGCTCCCCTTTGCTCAGTATCCCACTTATAGCAAGATCCAATACATCAAAGCATACAACAGAAATGCACGAAGGATTACCTGATATTCATTAGGCCAAAAGGTGCTCACTGCTAGCTCAGCCCGAAGCCAGTCTCTACCCGTGAATCCAGTCACATTCCAAATTGGATTAGCAAGAGGTCCTTTGTTCACCCTAACGAGTATGTTCAGCGTGCCAGGGTTCAGCCCTTTCTGGCTGTATAACAGGTAGCTGAAATCAATGCAGTGGGTGTCATTCTCCTTCATGGTAGGCAGCTGAAGTCGAGCTTTTTCTCCAGGGTCATGGATTGAAGAGTCCACTATCATATAGGAGCCTGAAATGACATTACACACAATGGAGATAAATAGATTTTTAAGCCAAAGGGATAAATAAAAAACAGTAGAAAGATACCAATCCACTATGAATATTAAACCTAACTCAAAAACCATGACTTCCCGAACAGAGAGTCTAAGAAGGCATCAATCAAGTAAGCAGGTAAATTAAATTCTTACGAGGTAACAGACACTGCTCAAAGTACACACATGCACTGACTCACTCTCCATAAACAAAAAATTATCTTACTTATTGAGAGATCAAGGAACTACACAAGTAATATAACAGACTGGTAGAGCCTGGCTGAAGACCCAGCCTCACTCCTAAAATTCTCCAGTTTTATAAAACGGAAAGGCATTTTTAATGATATAAAGCAAACAAAACAATCCTATTGGTCTGATATACATGGGAGGTGAACATTTTTTTTTTTTTTCCTCTACCAGAATATTACTATAGGGAGAAGGGTTAAGAACATTCTTTAGCACAGAGTCATTTCTGATTTTAAATTCCAAGATCGTTATTTCTGGAAGTTATGTGACCTTGCGCCACGCACTAACCCCTTTGGACTGCAGTTTGGGGAGAAGGGGTATTTTGTAGAGGGAGTGTGAGGGCTCGGTTTAAGCTTTTCGAAAGCTCAGACTCGCGCACATGATAGGTTTAATGCACTTTCAGACACTTCACCTCTGTTATTTGGCCCCAATTCTTTAAGAGTTCTTATACTCTTCTCTGGTTGCAAACCCCTAAGCTTAAAATCCCTAATCGCGTCCGCTTCCTTGGCCTGAAAAAGGACTCATTAGTGTATCTGTCCCTGGAAGGCATAAAATCTGAGACTCCTGACTGTAGACAAAAGTCCTACAGTGACCTACTAGCAAAGTGGGACTTCGACGTCATGCTATATTCTACATTAGGACCAAAAAATCACAAGAAATAAGCAGTCGTTCTCATACCCTGGTGGACACTGACAAAGGGACTTGGAACAAAAGTGTAATTACTTGCTTATCACACTTAAGGGACAACAAAACTTGTATTTTTAATTTTTTCTCTTGTGATGTCATTTTAACCACAGTGTATAAGGTATGAAATTACAGAATTACCAAGGTTATAATTGACCTCTCTTGCTGAAAGATGTATACTTAATCAGTCCTACATATTTGTTCCGGAAAACATAATCACTTATACCCATGACATATTAAACACTCCATGACTACCAGTCTCAATAGTTCAAGAAAGCCAAACAGCACATTCAAGTCATGGCAGGCAGGATACTTCCACTATGTAAGAACCTATGCTTCAAATCTAATTTCCACTGAGTGGCCACCTGTGGTTGAGATCTACCGTGAAGATTTTGTATAACATTTTAACGTGGTCCAAGTACAGAATTTCTGCACTATAATAGTGGTAACTGATGTTTATTTTAGTTTCCCAGTTCTCATTTTCCTTGGAAGCTCAAATTCTTTTTTCTTTTGGATAATTCTGACAGATGGCAGATTAATAAAATAAATTGACCATATGCACTTTTGGGAAAAATGTCTTTTTCCATAACAGGGTATTTTGGATCCCAATGCAATTTACAGAAGTAAGACGGTTCTACTCTCAGTTACAGTCACATCTCAATAGCTGATCAGTAAGATGTCTTTCAGACCCACTATTGCATGGCAGAACAGTTACTGCTCTGAGCTAGGACCTGAGATAAGTTACTTGGTGTTACTGGGCCTCAGCTTGTTCACCGGCTTGTGACTCATTTCTCCACTGCTATAATAATTTCTTCAGTAATAGATTATGGCAATAGTAGATTTCAATTATCTTCACAAATTTAGGTCAATCATGATTTCTGATTATCAGTTCTAACATGGTGGTGTCGAGATGATTATCGGCCTTCTAATAGTCATTTTCTTCTACATAAAATAAAGTTTGGAGCAAAATATGTTTTGGGTCACATTTTAATCATATATTATGACATTTACCATTAAGACTGTGAAGAAATTTCCAGCCAGTTGCACTTTTAAATTGCAATAAGTTTATTATGAAAGAAAAGCAATGAGAAAACCACATTAATTAATAGACCTTATCGATTTGACCATTAGAAAAAGCCACAAAATAAAAGTTTATCCAAACCATTTCAGCATTTCAAGGTCGTTCAAGGCCAGGTAAATGATAATGAAAGTTAATGCTGACAACTTATTTGTATAGAATGCTTCTGTGAAATGGCCTTATTTCAATACAGCCTGATAGCTCTAGATGCTCTGAGTCCTATGGAATAAGAATGCATTAACTGCAGAGTTCCAGAAAGGACGAAACAAGCATTCACACCAAAAAGCCCCCTAAATCCTTCTGCCTACTGCCAAGCAGAGTGGGAACTTACACAGTGCGTTCCAGAGAGAAGACTGCCTATTTGACATAAGATTCCCTCCAGCATCCAAAACACACAGAACACTGAATTCTTACCAACATCATAAATTACGTCCACAGTCTCCTAGAATAACTGGCCCTTAAAGTCTGAAAATACTAGAATATGTTCTTCTCTTACTTTTTATTACTGTGATTCTGGCCCCATATAAGTAATCCTTCAATTCTCTAGTAAGACTTTAGCGGTGTTTAGTTGTGCTTTAGATAATTTAAGGCTTTATAAGAAATGTCTGTGTTCACACACATATAACGTATGAACTTTTATTTAACATAATTTCTCTAATGTGGCCTTACCAATACTCTTTAAAGTTGCTTGAGCAATGAGGTCACAAATATATAATGTAAGACAGTAGAGAAAAACTTGTATGCTCATACTATATTTAAGAAAGTATAACTTTCTGGAGAGCAGTTTGGCAATAGGAACAAAAAAATGTAAAGAGATATACACCTTTTGATCTGGCGATTCCAAGTTGACAAATGGATCCTACATTAATAACTATATGAAAGTTTACAAAGGTTCAACTCAACAAGATATTTGTCTCATTACCACATTGCTTGAAATGGAGGAAAGTGGAGGGACTTTAAATATTCAATAACAAACAAGCAATTTGTAAAATTAAGATTAGTCAGTTCAATGAAAAATTATGTAGTGATTAAGAATTATATTAAAAAGATTTCATGGAAGAAATACATTTTTATGCAAAATATATAGGTTGTAAAATATTACACTCATTTGTAAAAATGTACATTTATTTTAAATATACTTTGGTGTGTGGATATTCATAAATGCACACACACAAACATGCACAAGTGATATCAAAACCTAAGCCACGCATTACTGGGGCTCTAATTGTCTTCCCCATTTTTGTTTATGTATTGTTTCTGAATGTTGTGCAATGAATATGGCTTACATTTGTATTTTTATTAAAAAAGGAATACACGAACACTATTACATAAGAAGCATTAATTGAATAATGATATTTAATAAATACATAAACATTGTTAGCCTTTTAAAAAATAGATCCTCTTTGAGCCTTACAGATTAAGAGCATCATGGTATTCACAAAACCACACTACAAAAACCAGATACTTTATATTTCAGTTCAATAAGAAACTGAGAGGAAAGTAGCAACTATTTAAAATACATAGCAGTTTCTACTTAAAGAATAGCTGAAGATTCATAAGCACCATAGTTTAATATAGGGATGAATAAGCAACGCCCTGTGGATTTATTATACTAATGAATATTTCATCTGTAAGATGCACTTCTAGGAATAACATTAACCTAGGAAATCAGATTAATTGCTAGCCAAGAAAATAATGAATGATAAACACCAGTCTGTGCCTTATTCTTAAACTCCTTTATGTACATGTTGTGTGTGTGTGTTTACACTTGAGTGCACTAACATAGTATTTCCATTAAGTTAGTTCTTACCCAGAATTCACTAAAGGTACAGAGAGAAAGTTCACCTTCTCTGCTTGGAGTTCACGTCTCCCCATGATCTCGCTCCAAAGTGCTTTGCTCACCTTACTGTTCCCTTCTGCTCAGAAGCCAGGGCTCCGATCTGCCAGACCCTTGCCCTGGCCTCCATCACAGCTTTCCTTCCCACAACTGCTTTGCAGTTTCCCATTTTCTCATTGTATTGCTTTTGTACAAACTCTGAATAATTGATAAAAGGATTGTTTATAAAAGACCATCCTCTTTCAGAAAGATGATAACGTTTTCTTTGGAAGTGCTTTGTTTATTCAGAGGCCAGATAAAAGAGAAGCTACCAAGTAAATTTAACAAATATTCTATAAAGAATTACAACCTGGAGGAAGAAAAAACTTGGAAGTTTCAAAGGGAACCTGAATAATAACCTAGTAGCCAACCAAGGGATAAATGTGGAAGCGGAGGCACATTACTCATGATCCTGCTAAAACCAGGGGTGGGGGTAGCGTGTTACAGGATGGAGAAGTTGGCTGGTCTCTCAGGCTGGAGCTGGTCCTCATCTAGCAGAGCGGCAGAGCACACGCCGCACGCAGCAGGATGGCAGGAGGTTTGGGATGTGCTACCTACTTCTCCTAGATGGCCACCAGGGGACCACAAGACGACTGCCAGGCCCTGGCTGGGGCGGGGAGTTCCCAACAGAACTCTGTGCAGCACGCCCGCACAACTGCCCCATGCAGTACCAGCGAGAGGAAAAATATAAAGGAAACCCAACCAGGAATAAAAGCAGCCTTCCTTCCACCGTGTCTCTCCTCTGTCCCATACACAGGAAGGCACCGCAATAGCTGTAAAGGAGAAATGCTTAGAGTCAAGCTCTTGCAATTTCAGAGCGTGCAATGATGGGTTGCTTTATCATCCAATAAGGTGTGCAGTCCAAGTTCACTAAATCCTGAGAGTGGATTATCTGAATGGATGAGAAGGACACAAGAAGACTAATTCTTACAATACCAGCAGGGACAGGACTAGCTCTACTCCTGAGTGAGGTCAATTATCAGAAAATGTAGACAGAATAAAAACGTAACAATTGTCACTGGTTAATGTTGCCTCAAGACATAATGATTTCCTGGAATCACTCGGGTTACAGGTACCCTTGTGTCTGGAAGAAT